TGTAGCTGACTGCAGAGGATCCCAGGAACTGCTTACCGTGCAATACAAAAACACAGTCCCAGTTTATTACTTACTCCTGTCTTTTCCTTTTGTGTTAAAACAGCCTGCCAATAGTAATAGCAGAGAGAAGAAATCAATAAGGCATGTTTTATACCTGCACTATGGTGATCATAGGCTAGAACAAGATTTGAAAGTAGGTCACTGCATTTGTAAGTCATTTACTTGGTTTTGATACAATATAAGTGCAATAAGCTTGTGGACTAAATTTTCGGAGTTGTGCTCACAGGCTGCATGCTGACTCTGCTTTTTCAGAAATTATTAAAACTAAATAATTCTCCCTTATAAAAATACAAAAGATAAATGCAATGTTTCCCAACAGAGCTCTGTGGGAGGCTGAGCATCCTCAGTTCTGATTTAGTTGATAGCATGCTACACCTCTCAGGTTTCGCCATGAGGGGCCAAAGCTAAGCAGAAAGTGTTAGATGTTCATAGCTTTCTTCTGTACCCTTACAGTTTTGTCACCTGTACACTTAACCATCATCTACTCTTTGCTACATGTTTCGTTCAATGAACCTACTCAAGATGTCAGTAATGGTGCCATCCTTATTTGTTTACCTTTATTTAATCTCTTTGAGAAGTGTTGCCATAGTCTTAATGACATGCATGTTGAGCATTAGGTTTTCCAAAAGATTATATGAATTTAAAAAAGGAAATTGTTTTTTAATTTCTTTGGATATGTTGTTAAACTGTAAACTTAACATTAATGGCTTTTAAAAAAGCCCAAACAACAACTATTAGAGGCTGGTTTTGTGACCTCTCACAAGCCACAGTCAGGAAACACTTCAGGTGAGACTGAAGGGTATACTTCAGCTTTTCCTTTTCAGTAGCCTTAACTTTCCACAGGGAAACTAAGATTTCATAATCTAACAACTTCAATTCAAAAAAGAAATATTCTGCTAACATTTGTAGCTCAGTAATACCAGCTACACAACAAAGAGCAAAAAGCTAGATTTTTTTTTTCTAATTTTTGCAGGCTCATCTAGAAGTAAGACTAGTCAACAAGTGACACTGGCTTAAAAATGGTACAAATGAGCAGTCAGCCAGGGCAATAATTAGAAGAGCCCACTGAGATCTTTTACTGTTGCAAAAGTATACAGATAAAATTTTGCAAGCTCTGTTCATCAGTTACTCAGTAGTATAATGATGACTTTGAAAGAGAAATTCTGCAGCTCTATAGATTCTGCCCTGCCATAAATAACCATACAGCTTTCAGAGCCTGTGTGGCTCTGTCTGCCTTGCTGGTGTTTCAAGAAATCTTTGGTCTTAGATGGGTTTGGATCTTTATCAGCTCTTACACAATTCAGAAGGTGTGCAGCAAGCTCCTTCAGAGCTGGCCTGATGCTAAAACGAGATTGGCCATCGGATGACTGCTCATGGGTAGCTCATTCCCCACCAGCTGTGAAATAGCTCCTGGAGCTTTGCCACAGTCTCTCAGGTCTGCATAAATCAAACAATGAACCTAAATATTGCCTAGTGGATAAAGTATGTCCTCCTACCTAGTGTTTTGCTCTGTCTATGCTACCAATCAATTAGAAATTTCATGTAGGGAACCTCTGCAGGGTCAAGAGTATTGTCTCACATACTCCTGCGCTGAGGACTGCTCCTGCTGCTTTTCACCTGCAAGCTGAGTCAGGAATTGCACCTCTAGTGAGTCACAGAAGCTCACAAGTCCTTCAGAAACTTGCAGTCACAACACAGGCATCATTATATAAACAGCTCAAGTGCCATAACCCATTTACTGGGGCTCTGCCTTATAAGAAGTGACAGAAAATTTGCACGCAAAGTGGCAGGGGAAAAAAAAAAAGTAAACAAGAAAACATTTGTCATTTTCACCCTCAAAATATTGTGAGCAACCCTAATCAGAATTGAAAGCAAGAGCCTTGTAGATCTGAGTGCTATGAATTACTCCTTGGTCCTAGTTCACAGTGTTCTAAACTTGTATCTATCCTGTTAGAAATACACTATGGGTGAAAAATGCAAAATATGACTTTGCAACAGACAAATCTCACTTTTGTGGAACATTATTCCAAGGAAATTACAAAAGGTAATCCAGACAAGGGAGCAGATAGCATTCAAATAAATTCTTTAAAAGCCTCTGGTCACATGAAGTCAGAAAGGATAATTTTAAAGTGAAAAGACAGCAAATAATTTCTGAATTGAAACAGCTTGAAAGCTAATCCCAGTAAATCAACAAGCTTCTTGGAGGGTCCTTCAATGTGATCTTCAGCAATTAATGGAGCATGTTACAACCATTATGGTACATAATAGTAGGCAGCAGGAAATACAAATTTTATGTGATGTTTCTCTGCAGCTGTTCCTGGAAAACTTATATTTTGCAGACTAGCTTGGACATGTTCATATGTTTTCACAGATTGGGAGTAATCCTTCAAAATGCTAAGTCTCTTATAAAGATGTCAAGTGCTGTCAGCTCTCACTGGCCTCAATTTGAGGACACCAGTAGTATGCAAGATAAGGTCCTTTGCAGATAAGACAGAGCAATCACAGAGTACTTTCAACTGCATACGGGAGTTTCAACTGTGAGACACGGGTATAGGAAGTCAGAGGCCTTGGTTTAAACTCCAGCCCTAATTTAATTTCCCAAATGATCACTGCATAGGAGAAATACATGGCTGTACTCTAAGTCTTTCATTGAATACACACCCACTGATGAGGCTCCCCCAGAGAGATCTGAAACTGTAATGGGCAACACGCAGTGAAAAGAAGAAATCTTTGTAAAGTGTGAAGACCACTGATCTAGACTTCCTCCCACTGTTGCATTACAGAATGAATCTTTACAGTTTTGAGAGTAAGACAGCAAAGAACCACTTGCACAGAATGCAGATCTTACCTTCTGTTTCAGCTTACTGGATTCATTGATGAAACAATCTCTCTCCTTCTCTAATTGGTAAATAATCTTCCTTTGTTTCTGAGCTTCATTCTTATAATTTTGGATTTCTTGTTCCAAATTCCTCTTTGACTGTTCATGCAGCTTCACTAAATTTACCTGCTTCTCAGTTTCACTGGTCGCCTTGACCAAGTTCTACAGGGAACACAAAATAATTACTCTGGAGCTGAAAAGGCAACACTGCCACCAGTATGACAAAGCATACCATTGTCTAAGTGGATTATGGACTTCCCAATGTTATCACCCCTTGTCTAATTTGTTCAGTTATATTTAAGCCTCAAATTTATTTTCTAAAAAAAATCTCTAACAGAGTTGCTAAATAATGCTTTTTCTGATTTGAAGTTAAAAAACTAGCATCTCCATTACAAAAAAAAAAAAAAAAAGGACAGGATCTTTTTACAAGTGGATATAAGAAATCACTGGAAAAACCTTACCAGCTTTAAGGCATTTAGATCGTAAAGCATGCCAATAGCAAGTAAAATAAATAATAAACCCAAACACTCTTT